GCTCCAATAGAGCAGAGCTTCTGAGCCGAAAAACTCTTTTTTCTCGGAGTTGCCGGACTCTCTAGAGCTTTCTTCTAGCGATATGGGAGTTTCCTAGGGCTTTAGGGGGGGGGGGGGGTTGAGATGTTTAGCGAGGGAAAGAGAAAGGTGGAGGTGTGAAGAAATGAGGGTGCAAGGGGTTCTATTAATAGGTTGAAATGTGACTCAACTTGGTGCTACATGTCACCATCTAGTGGTAAGACTTGGGGAGAAAGCAATGGCCCAGATTCAGCCACGTCACCCCCTTAGCAGCAACACCCTGCCAAATTCTAAACCCAGTAACTTTCGTATACGAGCTTTGATTTCGACATTCTTTATATCCACGTGTAGGTGGAGACATAATCTACTACTTTCATTTAGACTCTGTCGGCTAGTTATCGACCAATTTTAAATTTAATAGTATGAGAATATTACACTGTTAACGACCGTGTAAAATTCATAACTTCTACATACAGAATCTGTTTTCGACTGTCTTTTTATCGTTGAGCTCCTATTAATGAGATATTCAATTCTCATTTAGGTTGTGTCGGCTAAAAATTGATCGATCTGAAATTCGAATTCCGGACTGTATACTATTGAAATCTTTAAAAAATCATAACTTCTTCATACGAAGTCAGATTTTAACGTTTTTTTTATGCACGTTCTCGGTTTAACGTATACTACAACTTTCATTTAGATATATGAGGCTAAAAATAGTTTATCAAAAATTCAATTTTTACGATTCCCGGTGCCGTGCAAGTTTTGCCGTAAAACTTCGATAACACATAACTTCTTCATTATAAATCGGATTTCGGCATTCTTTATATTTCCGGAATCCTTGTCACAACCACTACCACTTTCTTCATAGATATTGGGTTTATCTATACTTTTATTTTTTAAGCTTATTTTCACTCTTAATTTATTATATTTTATAAATAAATATAATGCACATAAAATCACATAATTTACATAATATCCAAGTAATTTCTCTTTATTACTTCAAAGTGGGTTACAATGGTTGACCTTAACTATTACATCATCACATTAATGTTTAGCCTAAAAACATGGGCGTTACAAAAAATTTCATTTTAATTAAGTTAATATAAAAATCGATAGTAAAAAAACATTCATAGTGTCATCTATATCAAAACCAATATGTCAATAATCAAAACATGTCATAATGAAACATCATCAAAGTATAATCTCATTATCTCATATGCGAAAAACATAGTGTGATGCGCTGCTATCATGCCGACTCATTTCCTTTTGAAGAAGTACTTGAAACCAAAACTGAAAACCATAAGCATGAAGTTTAGTGAGTTCCACCATCATACCACATAATCACATACTACCAGAGAAATTTGGGTGCCCGGCATACCCTGTCAGGCATATATGGGTGCCCGACCTACCCTCGGGTTTATTTTAACCAGTTACGGGGATTATTTCACCCCTATTACTACCACATAATAACATAGTATAAACATACTGTCAGGGATATGTGGGTACCCGACCTACCTTGTCAAGCATCTATGGGTGCTCGACCTAACCTGTCAGGTATATCTGGATGACCGACCTAACCTGTCAAGCATATTTGGGTGCTCGACCCACCCTGCCAGGCATATCTGGTTGCCCGACCTACCCTCCGTTTTATCTCAACTGGCTACTGGGTCTATTCCACCCTCTACCACTACCGACATATCATAACTATATTGTCAAGAATATTTGGGTGCCCAACCTACCATCCGGTTTATCTTAACCGGTTACGGGGTCTAATCCACCCTTCTTACCACTATCACATAATATCATGACATACTAGCAAATAAAGCATAACAGATAGTGGCATACTAAGAAATTATCACAAAGAAAATCATCTCTACTGTAATCAACTACTAGTGGGTCGGCATTGGTGCCTTCGACCCACTTCTACTGGAAGGTAACTCGCCTCAAATGTTGTAAAGTAGCTGGAAATCCTTGGCTCCGACAATCCACCCAACTCAAACTCCTATACATAAAATATTTCATTAATTATCCTTTCATACTCATGGCCCATTAAGGGTTAACTTTTGTCAAAGTCAAAGTCAAGCTCAATACCTGGTCAAAGTCAACATTCCGGGTTGACTCAACTCGCCGAGTTGGTCCATCAACTCGCCAAGGTCCATAAATCATAAAACCCTAAAATCGCGATCTAACTCGTCAAGTTCTTTCATGAACTCATCGAGTTCGTCCTATCCACATAATCGGGACTTTCCCACCCAGCTCGTCGAGTCCGTTCTTGAACTCGTCGAGCCCTTCCTTTTACAGAATCGGGGAATTTTGACTCAACTCATCGAGTTCCTTTATGAACTCGTCGAGTTCTTTAGTCTAATAAGCTTTCTTAATGTGTTAAGCCATTATTCTTCGAGTCTAAGTCCCATATTCCAGATTTGAGTCGAAAACACATTTAGGAGGGTGAAGTTTCTGACTTTACCCATTAAGACCCATCCTATAAGAAATGAGCCCAAACCCTAGCTCAAAATAGCCTAGTTCCAACTTCAAAAACATCAAAACTTCAAGATAAGCCATAAGATCATAGATCTGGACTCTAGGGACAGTTTGGTCACGTAAAGTTCCTATCTTTACTTGCATGCATATACTACTTGGCTCAAAAGGCCAAAAAGATGGTCCACAAGTTGCATGGGGCTTCCATAGCAATAAAGTTGACACATTTATGACAAGAAGTCCCTTATAGACCCTAGATCTGAAAGGTTTTGCCCACATGGGACGTCCAAGTCCCAAAGATCAACATTCTTAGACCAAAATACGGAGAAAACATCCTAAAACTAGATCTAAACATTTAATAGACAAGATAGGAGTTTTATACCTTAGATGAACCAGAAATGAAGCTCAACTTCTGGATCTACTCTCCTCCTACATGTCCTTGCTCCTTCTTCAAGAATCTTCTTCAAAATCACAAAGGATGCAAAAAAATGGCTCAAAACTCTCAAAAGTGGATTAAGGTTTCGTGGATAGGGTTTGGGACAATGAAGGTTGTAAATGAGGCCAACGTATGGAGGTTAAGATGTTTAAATAATGTACAAAACCCTGAAAATTAGGGTTTCATTCTGTCAGTCCTACTCATCGAATTGAGGCTTCTTGACTCGTCGAGTAGACTTCACAACCCGCGTCTAAATCCATCTCTACTCGACGAGTTTGAGGCCTCTAACCCGTCGAGTTTCTATACAAAAAATGAATAAATTTAGAATTAAATGCATACCAGGAACCGGACGTTACAATACTAAATATAAATATATACACTTTTTTAATGCATATGTTTTTACATATGCTTTCAAGTATATAAATATGTATTTAAATATATAAATATCTTTTTAAACGTATAACTACCTTAAAAATATATTTATCCCTTTAAAACATATTTTTTTTAGCTTTAAAACATTATATATATATATATATATATATATATATATATATATATATATATATATATATATATATATATATATATATATATATATATATAATCAAAATAAATATAACCAAAGTAATTATTAAGTAATAATATTAATAATAAGCATTGTTACACATTATATAAAAAAAGTCGGACTTTTAATCACAAAATGATTTCAAGCCTAGTGGTAAGGCGTTTGTGTTGATTAGTTAGTGAGCCGAGTTCGAATCTCGTGTGCTGCATTTCTTCCAATAAATTCAAAAATTAAACCAAATATCAGGCTTTAATAGCCGTAAAAGACCCCAAAGGTTAAAACCTAATATTTTTTGAAAACTCAAGAGCTTTTATGACATTAACACAAATGAGAACAAAAGTCATTAGATCCTTACGATAGAGAATAGAGTTGTTGAATCTGATAGATCATAACACTACATCGATGTTCTTAGATAAGGAATTGACGATCCAGCTAATCATCACAGAATTAGCACAATGCCAGGATGAATAAGAAGATGGTGTAGATGCAAGAGCAACAATATTACCATCAATAAAACTGATTTTGTTCTTGGCAGAAAAGGAAATCATCATATCAAGTTTACAGGAAGCATGTGCTGCATTTCTTCCAATAAATTCAAAAATTAAACCAAATATCAGGCTTTAATAGCCGTAAAAGACCCCAAAGGTTAAAACCTAATATTTTTTGAAAACTCAAGAGCTTTTATGACATTAACACAAATGAGAACAAAAGTCATTAGATCCTTACGATAGAGAATAGAGTTGTTGAATATGATAGATCATAACACTACATCGATGTTCTTAGATAAGGAATTGACGATCCAGCTAATCATCACAGAATTAGCGCAATGCCAGGATGAATAAGAAGATGGTGTAGATGCAAGAGCAACAATATTACCATCAATAAAACTGATGTTGTTCTTGGCAGAAAAGGAAATCATCATATCAAGTTTACAGGAAGCAAGTCTGATACTAGTGAAAACATTCGTAACAAGTATCAATCCAGGATTATCAGATGAATTGATGAAAGGACCAGATGATTCAATCAATTAAGTGAGGTTTCAGAGAACACGATGAATGAAGAATATGATCAACGAAAAAGTGAAGATGAGAAGGATCCTAATCTCATTAACTTATTAACTTATCACTCTAAACCAAGAGCTACATATACACATGAAGAAGAGAAATAGCAATTAACTAACTAGCTAACACAAATGTTATGAAAAGATCAAAATACCCTTTAATAAATTCTAACCATATTAATAGAATTGTCTACGGCTCTAATAACCATAATAGCAATAATAATGTATGACATATTATTGAGGAAAAAAAATCAATGTGACAAAAGCTTGAAGTCAACTTTTCTTTCTATTGAAGAAGAGAGTGTACAAATTGATTACAATAGAATTGAAATACTAACCTAACTAATTAGGACTGAATACAGAAACTATCGTTAAGTGCTGATAAATATAGTACAAAAGCAACATATTTCGGTTTACCTTAACATACACTAACATATGTATAGTCATTGTGTGAATTGTGTGAGTAGCAAAGGAGATATTATCTTATTAATGGCTTTCTTTACTTGCATTATACTAATTTTCTTTCCGTTATTACCATTCACCTTCACCTAAATTTAAAATCCAAATAGAAGTTATTAAAGAAAATAAATATAAGGCTCATGTAAAAAAGGCAAACTTACCTTAGCTCTCATCTCAGCCGTACACGTTCCTTCGTTCAAACAAGATTGAACGGTTGTGATTTCCACTCCAAGTTCCCTCAGCTTCTTCATGACATCCAGCAACAGCCCTTCTCTGTGCGGACACTGCAGCTCTACCAACGCATCACTCTCGATTATCGACACCTCTACCTGCACCGCCCTCGCCGCCTTCCTTCCGCCACCAGTACTTCCGGCGTCTAATACTCGGATCTTTCTCTTTGACGTATCCAACGTGTCCTGACGATGATCACGTGCTTCCAGATCTTGAATCTTCTTACGAAGCTGCTTCACGTACTCGATTGTGTCACCAAGGATCGACGCCTTGTCCATTTTAGTAACCAATGGTACCAGCGATCGAAGAACCATGAACCGCTCGTTTAGCTTCTCTCTGCGACGTCGCTCTGCGAGGACGTGGTTGGCACTGAGCTCTTCATGCGATGTCGTTTTCCGTATACGAGATGCGACGGACTCCGAGGCGTCACCTTCGGTGGGCTTGTTGTTGCTGTTGTTGTTGGAGTGGAGGAAAGGTACGGTGAAGATGATGTACTTTAGGAGCGACTGTGAGTTAGATCTAGTCGCCGCCACCGTGTGATGATGGTGATTTGGTATCCAGGCGGTGAAGGATGATTGGGTGGACGTGTATGGTGAGTCGTGGCGTGATGCTGAGTGTGAGTCATGCCATTGACTCACTTGACTCGTTTGTTTGCGGAGAATGGTTGAAACTGTACGGGAGTAATGACTGTCCTCCTGTGCTAATTCTGTTTCAACAAATATATATACGTACAACATTTGAGTAGAATATATCCAATGGACAAACCTAACATATTATGTAAAGATGTCGTTTTGTAGAATGAGCCATGAAAAAAGATGATGTACTTTTTAGTAAAAAAAAGATAAAAAAAATAACCAAATCGTCGTATTTTATGCTATATGAAAATGTAGTATTATTGGACAGAGGAGTATAATAATATTACTGTATTTTTTTTTTTTTTTTGGATAAAGATATAAAATCTAAGTTGCATACAACTTCATAAAAAATATTTTGTAGGGTTTGCAATCAATCATATACTTAATCTTCAAGGGAGCAAAAAGAATCGGTTTACAATTACTGTATAATATCACTTTCGTGTTTTGGTAATTATACATATATTTGTATAATGTTTTTGTTAGGTTTTGAGTATCAAATGATACGAACTTTTATCATGTGGGTGAAGTTAACCAAAAGTTGGTGCCATGGTTACAATGGAAAACAATAGAATGCCTACAAAATCTAGAATATCCCTTTTAATAAAAAAAAACAGTTATAAAAAGTTATAAACTTTAATAAATTCAATAACATCATTATATAAATTTGAATTGTGATGTATTATGTGTAAGAAAAGACAAAGAAGTTGTAATCGCGATATGTAACTTTTTTTAATCAAAATAATATTAAAGTAAGTTGATGATTTTTAAATAATAATTACTAATAGGGAAAATGACTTACGAGTCCAATGAAATTTACAAACCGTTCAAAAAACCTCAATCATGTTCCGTATGTTTAGAAAATCCCAACAAACTTAACATTTGTCTTAAAAAGTTCAACTATGTCACATTTTTATTCAATTCTATGGAAGTTACCGTATTGGAAAAATTACTTGTAAGACCAACAAAGTTTTTAAACTGTTTAAAAAACATCAATCATGTTTTGTTTGTTTAAAAAAAAAACCAATGAATTTAACATTTTGAACAGACAAAAAATGATTGGAATTTTTTGAACGGTTTGGAAAATTCGTTGGGTTTTTCTAGACAAAGGAGAAGTTTGTTGGGTTTTTCTTGAACAGACAAAATATGTTTAGGGTTTTTTGTACAGTTTGAAAACTTAGTTGGGTTTGTAAGTCATTTTCCCTTTACTAATACAGCATAAAAATCTATTAAGATTATAAAAAAAAAAAAATAAAAAGAATTTCACTTTTGATATTCATCATGCATATATTATATATACCTCCTGATCCTTGTAAATGAATGGTGGATGGGTTGTGCAACTCCAGAGCATGTGAGTCGGCTCTACATGAGTCATGATCTTGGCTGGTTGGCAACAAGTGATCAAAATGAGAGTCCAAGTTAAATCGAATCGTCAATGGGTGATCCGAACCTAATATCTGTAGACATATCAAGTTGCAGTAGTTCATTCGCCTCCATCACGATGCTATCTTCATCATGAAGTTCTTCAACAATAGAAATATGATCGATTTCTGCCTCAAAATCGGACTCATTTTCTTCTTCTTCTTCTTCTTCCTCATCATTTTCATCATCATCATCATCAGCGTATGCATCCATTAAATATAAGTTGTCTAAAGGTTTGAACCGATGAGGGGAAAGAGCATTGGTGTTGGAAGAATGGGCAGAAAGGGTGGGTCTAGGAGGCGGGAGAATTGACTTGTCATTTTCGACCCTGAAGAAATGTTTCACGTGTTCAATCAAGTCGACACCTTCCTCCACCTACATATACATACATGCATTTATAAATAAATAACTTGGACCCACTGAATAATTAACTAATTAAAATATTACAATTTATTATTAAGCAAATACATAAAATAGCTAAAAATCATCAAATTCTATGATCGATTTATTTAGGAAATATAATACTGATTTAATTGTATATATTTTTCTCTATGACTAAATATGAAACATAATATTTCAATATTTTTGGGATAATCAAAAGGTTATTTTTTTCCACTTTAAACCAAAATTTTATTTTATTTTTCTTAAAATCCCTTACATTTTTTCTACTTCTCCTGATTTAGCCCTTATAATTTTTATTATTTTGATTTATCACTTACATTTTTATTTTATTTTTCGAGCCCCTACATTTCTTCGGATTAAACCTCAAATTTATGTTGTTTCAAAAAAATCTTTACGCTTTTGTTATCTTGCATTCGGTTCCATAATTGCATGACATACTCCCAACTTCATGATGGTTTTAAGTAAATATAGAGATATTGTGTTGTAATTTTATTACTTAACAATCGCATAAATTTCTCTTCCATGTGACATCATGGATGTGGTGAAAAACATTGTAGACGTATGTAGTCATCTAGAAAAGTTCAACTCAAGATGTGTAATAATCATCGATATGATTAATGGTTATTCTCATTAGGAGTAATAGGGTTCGATGATGGAAGAAGAAACCCTCCCTTCTTATTCTCGCCAACAGATGTCATCCCTCTTCTCTTGTTGTCTATCTTATCTTCTATCATACAACATTATGGTTATCTACCGAGAATAACAAACCTAACAATAATAACTTTTACCCTTCTTTAGCTATAACCATAACCAACATATATAAAACTCAATGTAGACAACCATTTATTTAACTAACGATCATCGCACATCTTGTATTGAACTTTTCCATATCATTACATGAATTTATAATGTTCTTGACCAATCATCAACCAATGAATTTACAAGACTATCTCACTAGATTTACTCCAAACCATCATGAAGATGGAAGCTTCTGCTATGGAATTATGGATTCGGATGCAAGAAATATTCCAAGATAAAAAGATTTAAAAGTTCTTTTAGCAAAAAAAATATAAAGTTAGAGAATCCGGAATATATATATATATATATATATATATATATATATATATATATATATATATATATATATATATATATATATAAGGATTAAATCGACAAAAAAAATTGAAAATGTAAAAGATAAATCGAAAAAATAAAATTTATAAGAGCTAAATAGAAAAAAAAATAGAAAAAATATAAGGGGTTTTTCAGAAAAAATAAAATATAATTGACGTTTAATCCGAAAAAAAAATCAATATATAATATTTTCTTTTTATAATTAACCAATATTATTTGATAAACTTAAAATTACTTTATCAGGTTATATAATAATAATAATAATACTTTGAGCTCCTCCCACCTAACATCAATAACAAACAAAAATGACGACTTTTAGTATCAAGATTTTGTTTCATTCTACTTCTAGTCAAAACATTTATTGAGAAGAAGGATATGATCATATTATTTTATTAAACATAAAATTTATAATATGTAACCAAAATTTCTAATAATATTTATTATTATTATTATTATTATTATAATGTTAGGTTAACAATTTACTATATGCATATAGAATTGATTGTAGACCGATAATTTTAGTTATTTTAAGAAATTAATTAATACATGTTAACTGGTGAAAATATAATAAGTATTGATTACATCTTCAATAAATAAATAAATATATATATATATATATATATATATATATATATATATATATATATATATATATATATATATATATATATATATATATATATAAACAACTTTACAAACATTTGTTATCTTCATTTTTTTACAACAACGAATATCATTAAAAACAACTAAACTATCTAATTTATATGTTCATCCTTAGATATCTTTAATCTTTGAAAGTTCTCAGATATCTTTAATTTTTGAAAGTTTAAATACAATGTTATTTTTAAGGCTCAATTACATAAATAAAACACTATATGTTGAGTTTTTTCTTTTTTGCAGATTAGACCTTATTTTTATTTTTTAAAATAGTTTTTTTTTACTTCTTTCCATTTTTTATTTGACCATTTTATTAGATCTTCCTGCTTAACTCAAATAAATTTCAAAGAGAAAAAGTTAATATTTTTTTTCAAAAATTTTCATATTTTGCAAACATTTTTGTTAGAATTTTTTTTGCTCATAATTCCCATGTTTTTCACTTTTTGTTTATCATGTTTTTGATAGTTTTTAACATTAAAATTTGATTGAAACACTAGGTTATTTTTAAAACAAAACGAAAGGATGCTACTTCGATTTTTGTTGGCAAAATAAATAACACAATTTATTAATTAGAGGATGTATAGAGACTATACAAGTTGAAGAACAATGATCAAAATTGGCTTGATATCTTGGACTCTTTGGAGTTTTAAAGTTGTCTTTCTATTTGTATCTTTAAACAACCTAACGTAAGAACCTAGACTTTTGTGCATATGTATTTTAGAATGTTGTTTTGTGTTAAAGGGCATTTTTGTTCTTTTGGTAATATTAGATTTGTATGAACCTGAAATTTAGAGAATGTTGATTTTTAATCAAATATTGATCAAAATGGTAAAATTGTCAATTATGAGAAAAAGATGAGATTATGAAGTTGTGACTACATGAAATGGCCAAAACAAGTAAGTCGCCTAGAAGATGTTAGATGAGTAAGTTCAAGATAAAAAATGCATAGGAAGATGTACTTTGGCCAAAAGGGTAAAATGGGAAATTTTATGTTTTTGGCCCAGCTTTGTGACTTAACAGATTAAGACCCATATTAAGTCAGTAAGAAACGACTTAATAGAAATGTAGAGTATGTTCCCACCTTCGGGTGGATATAAAAAACATAAAAAAAGAGTAAAAACAAAGAAGTTATGAAGGTTAGAAGTTGGGATAAAAAATGTCCCCAAAACTCAAATGAAATCAGTAATGCAATCTGTTGATTCCCGGTTACCGTGGTGCGGTAAGAGATAGTGAGGACGCAAAAAATTATACATCGTCATAAGAAAGAAATGACAATGTACTTGGCGCTACGATATAACACCTTGATCGAGGTATTTTCCATTTATACCCTTAGTATAAAATTTAATTGCAAAATCGGTCCCTTGGGTCATTAAGTGAAAACGGGTGTTGTGCCTAGGACGTTGGGCGTACTCTAACTTACGTCGGGTGTAAGTGGATGAGGGTCAAACCCTAATTTTTAGGGTTTGAGCCCCATTTAAACATCATTATCTCTTGAAGACCTCTTCCCTTATCAGCCTCCATCTCCCAAATCGTCTCTTGAAACCCTAATCCATCGTGTGGCCATTTGAGCTTGAAAGTGTGTGTTTTGATGATCTTTAAGGAAGAAGAAAGGAGTGAAATCATCTTGGAAGCTCAATGTATCTTGGATCCAGATCCAGAAGTATCTCACCTTCAAGCATTATTTGAAAGTATAAAACTTGGATTTTGATGTGTTATTTGCTTAGATCTTGCTAGTATAGAGTTTGTTTGCATTTCTTGTAGTTTTGAGCTCATATATTAAAAAAAATGAGATCTTGGACACTCTCATTAAGCCATGCAAGAGATTTGGAGCTTTGGGTGACTTTTGGACCAATGGTTTGAGTTTTTACCCTCTTGTATTCATGCAAATGGATTATGTCAAAGACTTTATCCATGAAGACGTCCATTTTTACCTCGATCTAAAGTTTGATGTTTTGGCTTAATGAAATAAGAGCTTAATTGTGAAATGGAGATTCAGCCCTAGTACGCTAAGCGTACCTAGAGGTACGCTGAGCGTACTAAGGATCGAACTCGTATCTATAAAGGCACCATCTACGTTGGGCGTAGAGGGGAGTACGTAGGGCATACTCAGCCCATATGGAATCTTTGACTTTTTACTTGATTATGACTTGGATTTTGACCAGGTTTAAATTAGGGGTATTTTAGGTATTTTGAACAGTAGTTTGAGATTAGGTTGTTGTTTTGTTGTATATGTGACATGTAGAGTCAACAGCTGGAGCTGTGATCTGTCAGCCATCTTTTCATACTGTGAGGTTGTAACAGCCTGGAATTTCAGGTATTGTCATAATGTTGTTTTTGGGGTGTTTTAGGAGGGGACTCGGCGAGTTGGAGCCAGACTCGCCGAGTAGGACCACAGACTTGGTCGCGGGTTCGCGACTGGACTCGACGAGTCCATTATGGACTCGGCGAGTCTGCGCTGTTCAGCGGAAACCCTAGCCGTTCAGTTTTGGAACGTATATAACGGACTTATAGGCCGTCATTGTCCGTTTTTAGCGACTGAGAAGAACCCTAAATCGGTTGTGGGCATCTAGAGCAAGGATTGAAGGCCATTGGTGATCTTGAAGAAGTTATTGTGCAAGGAAGAGAAGAGTTTGGCTAAAGGAACAGCAAGGGAATCAAGTTCTGAGGATTGGGGACACAGAGAGTGCATTATTCAGGTAATATTTCGGATCATATTCTGCTATGTTGATGTGTGCATGGATTTAGGGTTTATGGAACCCTTTTGTGACTAGATTGATTATTACCCTTGTTCCCCAAACGATTATAACCCTGTATTAGGACCTTTAGAGGTCCAGAATGTCCCATGCCTGTGTATTTTGGGAATTAAGAGAGGTTTTGGATTGGAATCCTTATGCCTTAAGTCAAAAGGTAAATTACAAGTCTTGGGGTGTAGCATGAGCACCTAAATGAAGGTCTTACGTGTTGTACCAGCTTAGGAGGACCAGACCTATGAATGGTCGGGACAATACTGATCTCAGGAAGCAGTTTGATCGACTGCATGGCATGGACTCGCCGAGTCCGATGAACAGACTCGGCGAGTAGCTTGAAGATTAACTGGGACTCGTCGAGCTGTTCTTCAGACTCGACGAGTGGAGTCGGGGTGGCCCCGCGATTCTTCCACGAGGAACTCGTCGAGTCAAGAG